TATATAGGTTAAAACTAATTGCAACGTAAGTTGCAACATTAAAAGTTGCAACATATTAATTATAGTTCCCATCTTTATACAGGAAACAATTCTAGAACTATTTCTTTTATACAAACCAAGGGATAAAAAGTTGTTGGATTTCTAGGGTAAAGGTTAAACTTTTGCATTAGAGGTTAGACTTAAAGTGAGTATAGATATAAAAAACTAACCTCAAAAGTCTAACCTACTAAGTATACATATATTAAATTTAATCTTTGCTAAAAAATACATTGCAAAAATACATATCAAATATTAGGACCTTATTCTAAAGTCTATTAATATATTAGATTATATAATAACCTCTAATATGTGAGTGACATCAGTCATAAGGTATTCTTATAGGTTTATTATATCCTAGATTAGTGTAAAACTGGTATTTTTTAGCTTTGTGATACAATTGGTAACCTTCAAGTTGAATATAAGCTTTATTACAAATGTTACTAGAATTATAAAAATAAATTTCGCTTTTATTTTCTAAAAATAAACAATATAGTAAAACATATACTTTCTATATGAATATACAAATCCAATTAACTGAAATAAAGCCTACCTGTAAGAAAGTCGAATAGGCATTAATAAATGTAATCAAGGTAGGAATCTATTGTGATCCAAATGATCTTCAAAAAACAGAAAATTGTAATACAGTAAAATAATCTATAATGTGATTAACATGTCCTATAAAAAATTTATATATAGAATTGTATATAGTAATAATATAATTTAATATTCATAAAAAATGTATAAAATATACTGAATTTATATATAATATCTATGTAATTATTACGTATAAAATAAGGAAAATGACAGATTACGAATGTAAATTACATATATTGTATAAATTATTTCAGTACATTAGATACGTTTTATCTGTAAATATTATACGTTATTTTCAATACATTAGATATGTTATTTTAGTACATTAGACACGTTATTTTCAGTACATTAAATATGTTATTTTCAGTATATTAGATATGATTTATCTGTAAATATTATACGTTATTTTCAGTATATAGAAGATGGTCAGTAAAAAAAGGGAAATCTAAATTTTAGTCAAAATTTATATTATTAAAACACTTGGCTAACTTTTAAAATAGCATTAAAAAAATTTGAAAAACATGTAATTTTTCATTCTGCATTACCATTATTTAATGCTATTCAATGTTTTAATCCTCAATTTATTCAATCATTTCAAAATAGACATAATTTAGTTAGTATTTAATTACAGAATTTCAAAATCCTTCTAATTCTATTATAACTGAATGGGCAATTTATTGTGGTTTATCAGAAATTTTCGAGGATGGTGATTTAGATTTAAATCAATATTGCCAAGAAAAACAAAGAATTCTTCCGAATTTATCAAAAGTAGCATTAATTTATATATGGTTACCTATTTCGGGAGTTGATGTTGAACGTAGTTTTCCAATTATAAAAGAATTTTAGATAGGCGCAGATCACTTTCAGAGAATTCTATTGAAATGTTGAATTTTTTATATTATAAAAATGCAAAAAAATTTTTTATATAGTAAAAATATAAACTTTCAATTTTATTGATTATTAGTAATTTTAAAATACATAATTTTTAATTTTGCTTCGCACGAACCCGTGGGCTCTATCCTAAACCCGGGGTCTAGGATAAGAGTGCTCCAAATCGTATGATCAGTCATGTGATTTTAAATGATTCTCTGTATGTAGAACTTCTCTCATACGTGTCTGTTCGTTTTTCGGCTAATATCTCTCGAACACGTTAATCAATGGCTTCAGGAAACGTACATAAATACTTTGATCGTAAAGCTTCTGTCTGGAATATAGTAAATTTTCTGAACGAGTGTGAGCTTGAACCGTTCGAGCGAAAGATAGAATGTTATACTAGAAGTCTCGAAAGCATCGCTAATAATGAGAAAAACTGTAAAGGGGAAACAGCACAGTCGTTGCTCGACAAATATAGGATGGTGAGTAAAAGCTTTTTGTTAAAGGTGCAGAAATGTAGGAGCGCAGGTGACCTTTGAAGTTGTATGACGTTCAGGCAGTGTTTGGGGCGCTTGTGACCTTCGAGGTTGCCTGTCGTTCAGGGCTTCGAGCCGACCTGGCACTGGCCCCGTCGAGTGCAAAATGACCTTCGAGGTTGTTTTGTTGTAAAAGGCTTCGAGCTGAATCGGCGGTTGGGTGTATAAATAAAATATTATTTAAAAAAGGAGGCCCATATGTGTTAAAACAAGAGAGTAAATCTTTTCATTCTAGGATAAGGAACCAGATCGCGAGCTGGCTAGAAAGTGGGAGAGTCGACGCTCTCATAGTCGTATTCATATCAGTGGAACTGTCAATGGGACGACTATAAACAACGGAATAGTCGACACTATAAATGGGTTCGTTGCGGGATCCTCAACAAGAGACTTTCCTGATCTACAGGTTCGCGTTTTTTTACTAGACCTCATTATTTTTATGATTCGATCCTAATTAAATACAACTTTATTACACCAGACCAAGCGAGATCCTTCTGCAAAACGGACCAAATTTATTAATGATTATTTCGCTGTTCAGGATCAACAACCACGCACCCCTCCCCCCTGGAACCAAGAGGTAATTATGTTCTAGTTCGCAACTATGTCTTTGATAACCTTTTTTGATATGCGCAATAACACATACCTATTTAGGTAAATGATCAAGAAGGGCTCCATCTTCCTAGCAAGCACACATCCAATGATGATGACGGACTTTTGGATGAGGAACCCAATAAATCTTCTGATCCACGACCTGAAGAAGATGGCGAATTTGATGAAGGCAAGTTCTTAAAAGAACTTATTACCGTAGAGGTTTGTTTTATCATTCTTGTATTTCCTATTTTTTGCATAATTTTATGTTCATCAATTTATCTTCCAACATCATAGGAAGTCATAAATCCAATTGTTGAAAAACTTCTGAAATATGGTGAAGGTATCGCAAGATACAAAATAATTTTTTTACCCGAAGATAATAAACAAGATCCCGTAAAGATTATTCTGACAAGTCAGGAATGGGTAACATCTGAACATGACTGGCAAATGGTTCGTATTTTTTTTATTAGCAATACAACCAAGAAAATGATGATATTTACAATAATTTTTCTTTAGGTAGAAGCAAAAATAACTAGCTTTTTTTCAGTAGTAATACCAGAAAATATAAAATCTCTTAACTAAATATGACAAAGCCATCGAAAAACATACAATTGAATTCAAATCAGATATTAGTAAAATATCACTAGTAATAAACGAAAATCCGTTTGCAAAAGAAAGAACAGAATATATATTTCAAAGAGACTGGCCTCATCATTGGGTCCAGCTAGTGTTTACTTCATTGTAAGGAAATTATACTGATAAGTTATTCATTTTGTAATTATTATGCTAACTTTCATAAATTTATGGAAGCATCACATGTTTTCAGATGCCAATAGATTTTTTTCATGATGCATGTTTGTCCGAATATCTACCGTGATCGTATAATTAATAAGTTATGGGAAGATGTATTTTTAGATGTTAGTCCTGCGATTTATATGCGAACGTAAGTACCTTTTTCCTTTGTGCGTATTTTAAAGAGTTTTATAATATACTAATGCATTTATTACATTTGGTAAGCAGAGGCGAAATAGAAAATAATGATCGAAAAAATCAGAAAGATTGTTCAAGACCAACAGGACAACAAAGAGCAATTGGATGGTTCCATGATGCAATCTTAATGATGAAATTTTTGAGTAAGAAATTCAAATTGGTTTTGGTGAGGTTGTTGGCAATCCATGTAAACATGATGATTGATTCTAAGATGAATGAAGACCGGGAAAAGTTGCTTAAAGGTAATCAAAAGCTATGTTTTCGATTTTGCTAGTAACATTTGTGTTGAAAGGTTTTTTTAATTAGCGATGCAACTATCCCTTTACAACTTGCGAAATTATTGTTGGAAAGACAAATTCAACAGGAAGATCTTAAAAAACTAGAAACGTTTGGTATACTTGTATACAGTATGTATTTTGATACGTATTTTAAAATTTTTTTTCTTATTATTATGCTTTTGTTTCTCATTATATCACCTTTTACTTAGAGAGAGACTTCTTCATATATTCTACTCATTGGGTAAATGGTCTTTATCTAGTTGACCAGGTTAATGGTTTTACTATTCCTAACACTGCCAATCAATTAAATGAGCTTTCGATCATAATTAACGTGATGCTGGAATTTAAGGTATTTTTTTTATTATAGCATATATATAAAAATCACTACTCCTAACTAATATTTTTGTATAGTATCGCGTTATAAACCTTAAAAATCATATTAATTCACTTCTGAAAGACAAACCTAAGTTTTTTGGATATCGCAAAACTATTGGTGAATTGGCTGTGGATAGTTCACAAATCACCGGTCTAGAATACAGTAGAAAGAAATAAAACAAAGAAAAAGGAAAAACCAAATAATAATTAATACTTCAACCCTTATGATAAGAAAATAATGATTATTTATTTGCACTGTTCTTTGGTGTTTAATGTTAAAATCAATAGTAAATAATAATTTGTAGCAAATATTTAATGTATTATTAATAAAAAAATGCATAATATACAAGAGAGACGATCTATTTTTGTGACGGCGCATCGGAAATAATTAGGGTGGTGATTGTGTATATGATTTTTTTTTCTTGATCGGAGCTAATATTTCTAACAGATTTCCTAGATGTATCAGAATAATAATGCCGTAATCTACTGTAAAATAAAACATTCAATGTGATAATAATACAGTAATTTTTGGAATTCCAATTTTTTGCGCAATGTATAAATATATAATGACATTTAATCAGGCATATTCTAACTTGCTAGCAAAATTACCAGCTTCCCTAATAAATGAATCATGGGTACGTCTTACATCACGAAAGCGCAAACCATTATCTGAGAAAGAGGCCAGCGAAATTAATCCAATTGTAGAATCGTTTTTAAAGCATGAAGCTATTAGATATCAAAAAAGATTAATGCGTCAAAGACGAACCCAAAGTTGGCCAGAGTGCCCGACATCTTTGTCATCCAAAGAAGTATCATCTGTATTTGTTATAGATAATGAGGAAGAAAATAATCAGTGGGTTATGAACGAACTTAAAGTATTATCCCAGCACCTAGTTAATTATAATAAAAGAATTTTGAGAAATTCATGCAAGACATCGAAAAAATTTATAAAGAGCGGGTTAATGCAAATAAGAAAATGTGCTATGAAATCGAAGATCTGAAGATGCAGGTGCAGGTGCAGGAGGCGGAAAAAGAGCTGACATCTATGAAGTCAGATTCTATTCATTAGCTGAGGTACTTTTTTCCTTATGCTTCTGCATATCGGATTGGAAATGCATAACCTTGATTTCTATTTATAGGTATTTTATCATTTGAAAGATTTTTTTCTTCATTGTGAGGTAAAATTAAAGAATATAGATAAGCGGATATGTGTCATAGGAAGTATATGATTAGTAATAGTATTATAAGAAAGAACACAAGCTGAAAAAAGAAGGAATCAGATTTGTCTGCTTCTGATTCAGTAATAGAGCAGATCCCTTTGGGTTTGCACAAGTGAGGTAATTTTGAAGTGATATTGGAGATATCAGTTCCTCTAATTATCTGAGAGGTTTCAAAAGGAAATCTTTTTCTGATAATGTTTTTTTTAGACAAACATTGGCATTAGGGTTCCTCAAAATCGAATCGAATCAAATATTTAAGCAATTTGAATTTGATTTGATTTTTTCAAATCGAATC